TTACAGTGGGATAAACTCAAGTATCCCTGTGGTCGATCCCCATCTGCGTCTTGTTAGGAGGAGTACATTTCTCTATTGTACAGGAGAGCTCCAGCGATGGCAGAGAAATGGTCAGAGGACAGGGACAATTTGCAAGAAGGAAAATAAAATGGAAGAAGATTATATGAAAAATTCCAGCTTCACTGGCAGTCAAGAAATACACAAGAAACCACAAATCTGCTTTTGGTTTCAGCAAAAAAAAAAAAAAAAAAAAAAAAAATAGATACCATTTGAGCAGTTTCTGGTGTCAGAAACTTGATCTGATTACCAAAAGTAATGATCAGTGCTGGTCAGTGTATTAGAAAACAATTTGGCAGTTTGCACCAAAAACTTCAAAAATATTCATTCCCTTTGACCCAGTAATCCCACTACTGGGAATCTATCTTGAGAAAATCATCTATAAGCAGCCAAAGATTTATGCATGAGGATGTTGACTTCAGCAGTATATATTATGGCTGCGGTAATAATAGATCCCATTTATCAAGCCCCTGCTACATCCCAGCCCTGTGCTAGGATTTAGCATACATCTTGCCATCTAATTTATATGACCAAAAAAATTAGAAAACCTGAAATGTTCAACAAAAGCGGGAAAATTAAATGATAGTATAATAGACTGTTATGGAACCAATTAAATATGACATGTAAATAATTTTGACAAATGGGTAAGTGCTTATAATAAAAATCAGAATATAAAACTACATAATCAAAAATATATGTATTCATAATAAACATGTATGCATATGTATAAATAATTGCCACTATATGTATGTATATGAATTCTCTCTCTCTCTCTCTCTCTCTCTCTCTCTCTCTCTGTCTCTCTCTCTCACATAAAAATCAGAACAAAAGTATGCCTAAATGTTAACCAATATTCCCATCATATGGTTATCATAGAGTGCTGGGGTTATGAGTAAATTGTACTTCCTCTCCTAAAATGTTCTGTGTTCCAAAGAATGACTAAATATCATAAGAGACTCACAAGAGGATTCCTTCATGGATCGTGAGCAGTGATGGCCCTGCCCCCACAGTATCATTGGTGTCATTATAGAGACTATGCAGAACTCAATTCCATCTACTTTGCATCCTATTTCCTTTGAAATATTTTTCTTTGGTGCGTTTCACTCTTCAGATACACCTTGTATGCCTACTGCTGTTTGTGTGTTTCTAAATTACTTCTTTTTTAAAAAAAATATAGGAAAGCGTGAACTTCATCCCAATGACCTGGCCATCTCCAAATCCCTGGAAGCATCTGGCCGGATATATGTCTACCGGAAAGACCTGGCTGACACTTTGGTGAGGACCTTTAGCCTTGCACTTGAAACGCACGGACACAGATGTCAGACTGAAAGCATACTTGTGTCTGTTTCATAATGAATGCCAGAAAAATACATTGAATTGTTTCCTCTTCTAGCCAACAATACACGTGTCGAGTAACATTGCCTTGGCAAATCAAAGACACACAACTTGAGGAATTCTAAACCCTTCCTCAGTCAAATCCTCCTTCTCTCTGAGCCCCTGAAACAAGGGATTTGAGAGAAGTGACTTCTTTACCAATGGATCTCAATTCCACGTCTTCTTTTCTGGTGGACATGTGGAGAGTAGGCCAAGAGATGCACCCGGATTTAAGGGAGAAACTCCATCCTTGGTTTGCATCCATTTGATGCACCTGGAGTGCACCCCTTTTCTTGAAGAAGGGGTGCCAGCCTTCCCCGTGCAAAATGGTCTCATAACAGTGGGACCTCAGATGCCACTGAAGAGTGAGCGGTTAAGGAAATGTAGGAACCATACTGTAAGTTATTTCAGTTCAAATGTAAGAACGGACACCTAAGTAGATGCTTGTTTCTAAAAACCTGTGTTTGGTTCTCTCTGTATGGGAGTGTTCATCGCCCATAAGAAGCCCGTTTTACCAGGTTGTGACTGTCCCCTCTAGACTCCTGGTCCCCGGTCTGTGTCATGGAGTCACCCCTGGGCTGGGGCTGCCTCGCTGGCTCCTGGTGGACATATAATTGAGGAATGTATATGCCATGTAGGTCAACCAGACTGGCTTACAATAACACATGTGTTATGCTAAATTACCTACAGGATATCAAGCTGCCATAATATTAGTCACTGTCATTTTGGATACTTATTACCAGACGCGTAGGTGCTGAGTAATTTATATACAATATCTCATTTGCCATCCCAGTAACCCTGTGGAGTGGGGAGAGGCTGAGTAGCTTACTCTAGCTTCCCACAATCAGGGAGGGGACAGGGCTAGGGTCGCTTCCATTTATATTCGGCTCTAACTTGGGCCCTTTCCAGTTCTGAGCATCCCACAGGTCACTCGTCCTGTGTCTGCACACGATGTAACTCCATCGGTGACACACGACACACTGATGGTGCACAGCATCTCTGAGTAAATAATGAGAGTGAGTGGCCTTTACCCCTCCCCATGAAGGAGCACAATCTACTGTGTGGCTTTTCTGGGCTCCTGGTGGTGGAGGGAACCTGCATTCCCAGAGCTCTCATCTCCGCTGCCCAGGGCCAGCTGCAGAAGAGGAGAAGGCAGGGCCGAGTCAGGGTCTCAGTGGATGCTGCAAAGTACATTCCAAGATGAGCCAGATACCATCCTGCCCTCGAATGTTTCCCCCACCAACTTTGCACACCACCTAACATTTCCCCATTAGAATCTTAGCTGTAGGTATTTTATCTCCAAAATAATTCAGTTGACGGGACATTGTAAAGGATGAATAGCATGTGAAACCACCAGTATCCACTATACTGTAGATAATATTCTTGGAAAGCAGGACTGGGGCCCTGGATGAATGGGATGGAGGAATACATAGGAAGCATTTCTCTGAAAGGGTGGTAGACAACCTTGAATAAACCGTAGGGCAGCACCAAGGTAAGGGGCATATTTAGGGAGAGAGTGGGGGGGTGGTTCAAGGCCATGTGAAAATACCCTTACGCCTCCAGCTCAGTGAGCAGAGGTTGGTGCTACTTCTCATCCCGTGGCTCTCCCTCCAAGTGTCTGCGTGCAGCCTGGTTTCCATCTGGTCCCATCAGACAGTCCCTGAGAAGCCTTAGCTTGTCCCCACCTCAGCGCCTCCATATCTGCATGTGCGTCCAGGCCATCCGCCCGGCTGAGCTCCCCTCTGCCGCCCACTCTGGGGACACGGGGACAGTTTGTACCTTGGCCTGCTCTGAGCAGAACCAAGTCTGTGGAAAAGCTCTGTGAAGGTCCTTTGCCATTCCTTTTTTAAATTAGAAAATTACTATTCATATATGTAAAAATTCTAAAATGCAAATAGTTTACTTTGCAGTTTAGGAACAGAGGTTAATACCTGGAATGGAGCGATTGCCTCCATCCTGCGATGTCATGTAGTTTGCGAAGTCCCATTCTTTCTTTTCCGACTCAGTAACTATTTCATTAACTGCCCAAGTACACCCTCAAATGGGAGAATTTCTATTTTAATTTAAAAATATCAAATATCTTGAAAAGAGGCCGAATAATTTTTAATACATTTAACAGTGACAGTAGATTTAAAGTTGTGGTGACATTTAATAATTTCATGCCATATTCTAAGGAAGCACTGATACTTAAAATAATCCCCCACCACACGGTATAAGTGAAGTCACTTTTATTTTATATTATTTCACGTTTAAATTGTGTTCGCTTCCCACGAGCGCTGTAGCACGGTGTGTGAACGTGTGTCTCACTAAGCACATTTCCTGTAGAAGCCGTGTCTGTCTTTATTGAAGTGCGCCGTGACATTTCTTCTGTTTGTTTTTATACTCACCCTGCTGGCATATTAATTCCTACCAGAAGCCCAAGTAGCGTCAGAGCTTTTGCTTTCATTATGCTGTCTGCCCGGCAGTGTTTTATAATCAGATTTGTGCGGGCACGCATCTGGGAGGCAGGGGGCTGGCCAACTCATTGATCACATTCTTCTTTTTGCAAGGCTGTTTCCTAAATTGGCTGTAACTCACTCAAGGTGAACAGACCCGGGGAAATATGAAGTGCCCTCAGACAAGATTGCTTTTCTGATCTGGGTTTCTAGTGCCTTTCCAGGGGCAGCCAGTGCAGTGTCACACATCGAGGTCACTGAGGGTCCTTTTGCTTCTGTTGGTTTAGAACCCGTTGGCAGAAAATGAGGAGTCCCAGCAAAGGCCGTTGAGGATCTTGGGAATGAACACTTGGGATCTTGCTCTGGAATTAATGAATTTTGATTGGAGTCTCTTCAATTCCATTCACGAGGTAAGGAAGGAGAGAAAAGGTCAAATAAATGCTGGTGCTCTTTTAACTCTGAATTCTTTTTTGAAAAATATTTGTGCATGTGACTAGGTGTTTAAAAGATCCATTATCTAGTGATAGCATTATGCTAGAATATCATGGTCCAAAAAGATATTTGATATTTGATCCAGTCCGAGGAAAATCAAAATACTTGGTCATGCCTTCTTTGCTCCTGGTACAGTCATATGTTTGTAGAATGTAATTTAAACATGTCATGGTTTTATATGTATGGATAGATATGTATATATGTATATTATGTGTGTGTGTATATATATATATATATATATATAGAGAGAGAGAGAGAGAGAGAGAGAGAGAGCTCTCTAATGGGGCTGAAGAGCTATTTTGTATTTGTTGATACTGATATTTGAATTTTTCCCATGAAGTTTATAATAGTTATACAAGAAGCATAGGTATATTGTGTGTATATATGTGCACACACACTCATGCTTTTACATAAGAACATTCTATAAATTTAGACTATTCAGCAAGATGTCAAGTGCTTTCTTGAAAATTTTGAGGTATATTTCAAACTTTTACGTCCATCAACTTCTCCCTGGAGGACAGCTTATAACATTTATAAAGCAACGGGTTATGGGCAAAATGCTGCTGACAATGAGTGAAGGAGTTGAGCCCGTGGAAAGCTCTCGGGCACCAGAAGGCCAGCAGCGAGGAGCTCTGTGCAACCACTTGCTGCCCTTGCGTTGCCTTGTAGTGGCATCTTCACTATGAGGCAGCCTTTCCTCCTGCAGGAGGGACTCAGGCCCAGCATGCTCCCTGAGCTTTGCTTTCAGTTGGGAATAACTTCTAAGTGTCCTCCTATCTGCTCATTAAATTTTCAACGTGATGATCTGAATTTGAACAAGCAGGGGAGTCATTCCCGCTCAATGACATGTGACCTTGGAAATGTTAATAGAACAGGATGCGTCCTGCGTAAGCAGTGGGAGGATGTGAACGACTTCTGTAGATACACACACCTCCATTTAGAAATAAGAATCTTCTATTGCTTTGCATGGGAACAGTCCATATATATAATAAATAGTTACTGGTCTTACTCGAATTTTTTTCATTTAGGACCTTGCTCTTTCTATTTAAGATTTGACACTGTCTTGGGTCCGTGGCTCTCAAAGCCTGGGCATCCAGACCAGCATCATCAGCGCTGCCTGGAAACTTGTTTGAAATGGACATTTTTGTCCCTACCACAGACCACCTGAATCAGAGTCTGGTTGGGGGAAGGGAGGTGATCCTGATTCACACTAAACCCTTTGAGAACCCTTGCCTAGACTCTACCTGTGAGGGTCTAACATGCATCTTAACAAGTACTATGATAGTATGTCATTTACACTTGAATTTGCCAACATAAGTTTAGGAAGTTTGGATTTCATTCAGCCTGTGATTGAAACGTTGAATGTCTTAGATTTCCATGTAAAGGCACCATTCTTACATTCTGAAGAAATACATTTATATAAGAAGTCTAAGTGAACATTATTTAATGAGGCATCCCTAAAACTAAAGGGAAGTTGTTTCAAATTGAATATATTGTCACCTAGTCCGATATGAGAATGGCTACCAGAAAGAGCTTTTAAAGAGGGACTGAATTTTGTGTCAACCTGACTTTGTGCTGAAAATAAACACTGGCATGACTACCTTTTCTTTCAGCAAGAGCTGATCTATTTCACATTCAGCAGACAAGGAAGTGGGGAGCACACGGCGAACCTCAGCCTCCTGCTCCAGCGCTGCAATGAGGTCCAGCTCTGGGTGGCCACGGAGATTCTGCTCTGCAGCCAGCTGGGCAAGCGGGTGCAGCTGGTGAAGAAGTTCATCAAAATCGCCGCCCAGTGAGTTCCTCATAGCAAAACCTGCAATTCCGCTCCGCTCCGCTCCTCTCCTTGTCTAGCACTGTTTCCCTTGTGGTGACAGGAAGGGTGGATGTAAACTTGTCACATTGGGTTAAATGACCCAATGATTGGAAAGGTCTCTTCATGAATATTTATGACTCTGCATTTGAAGTATTTCTATTTTAAAGTACAGTGGGGCCTTGACTTACAAGTTTAATTCGTTCCGTGATGGCGCTCGCAACTCAACTTACTCGTGTCAAATCATAAAGTGAACGAGTGAGACACGTGATTCTGGGCTGATGTTGTGGCATTCACTGTGACGTTCGCTGCGCCAACTAGCGGTGGGGTATCTGAAGCTGGCTTGTAACCCGAATTTTAGCTCAAAGCAAAAAATCGGCCGAGGGACGGCTCGTATCTCAAAAAACTCATTAGTCAGGACACTCATAAGTTAAGGCCCCACTGTACATATCAAAATCGCAGACTGAAGCTCTCTGCTCTGTGCTATGGAGCTAGTAAGCAGGCTGTGCACACATACCCATCCTGCTGCCAAATTGCCATGTGGCCCGGGAGCTACAGCAGCTCGGAAAATGGGGGAGGTGATGGGACGGGGTAACCACCCCTGAGAATCAGGTGCTCCCGAGAATTCTGCTCTCAGCCTCCTGATGCCCACAGTGTGAACCTTACGAGCTCCTTAGCGGGCCCTACACTGGCTGGTCCCTCCCGGCCTCTGAGCCTCACCCCTGGCTGGGTGCACCCCATGCTGCAGCCACTCTGAATGGCTGTCTCTGCCAGGCACGCCGTCCCCCAAGCATGGGCATGTGCTGCGTCTGCTAAGAAGGGCCCTTTCCACCCCGCAGATTGCTGTCACTTTAAGATGGAGGGCAAGTTTTCTTCCTTCTTGACATCACTGAGTTTCAAATGAAAGGTCAACTACTCCCTACCCAGACCCCTCTCCCCTCCCTGCCCCTACGCACACATTCATTGCCGTGGTCCAGCGCCAGAAGGTCCAGGGGTCCCCAAAGGTGTGGCGGAGTTGGCAAAGAAGGAATGACACGGAGCAAGCATTCAGTTGATCAGCAGCCTTGCCAGGATCTCTAGCCACAATCTCTAGCCAAGTTCTGTGCAGGTTCTCCAGTCAGGTTCAGTCCAGGTTCTCCAGCCAGGTTCAGTCACCAGGTTCTAGTCAGGTTCTCTTGCCATGTTCTATCCAGGTTCTGTAGCCAGGTTCTGTCTCTAGGTTCTTCAGCCAGGTTCTCTCGCTAAGTTCTGTCTCCAGGATCTGTTGCCAGTTTCTGTCCAGGATCTTTGGCCATGTTCTGTCTCTAGTTTCTGTCTCTAGGTTCTGTGTCTCGAGGTTCTGTCTCCAGTTTCTTTCCAGGATCTTTTGCCATGTTCTCTCCAGAGAAGTTCTTCTTGTTCGCAGTTAAAGTGATTAATTACCCGACTGGCACTTAGTTAAGGGGTTTTATTCCCTCCCTAACTTCAGGGGAAAATCCCTACCTGGGGAAACAACCTTTCTCAGAGAGGTGACCTTGGTTAAAACACATAGCGCCAAGAAGGTGAGCAAACATATTAAGAACAGTATGCCATATATGCCAGGTCTCTTGAAATAGCAAGGATGGACCGGCTCCCGGCAACTCATGCTTTGTTTCCTTTTTAAAAATGCCTTTATTATGTTTATTGAACTTACCTGTTTGTATAGGGCTCCTTCCCTGGGCTATGAGAGGCTCCAGGGGACAGGGACCAGTTCTAAGCAGTCATTCTGCTGGGAGCCTGGAATCGGACTCGGTGACTAGCAGGGACTCCGTAAATGTGGGTGAAATGACATTTTAGTAACTTTCTGGGAGCATCTCTGCATATACCAGATCAATGCCCTGAGATGCTCCTGGGACAGCTTCCCAACGGAAGCGGGCGGCAGGAGCCGGAATCTTTCCCGTTCCTTCTCCCTCCCAGCCTTCCCACTTTCCTTCTCCTTTGGCTTCCAGAATACTGTTTGTATCATTGTTCTGCATACATGTCAGACCAGCATTCAGGAAATACTTATTGATCACTCAGTATAGGTGTAGGTCCACACAGGAACCGTGGGGAAACCAGACCGAGCTGACACCATTCCTGCCTGCGGGGGTTTGCAGTCTGCGGGGGGTCAGGGCGGTGCTTCTATAATGCAGGTGGCCAGTGTGCAGATTAGAACCAGGGAGTGCCACAATGTGAGCTCACATTCTGGGGCTTTAAGGAGGGGAAGCTCACATACCAACAAGGCGGGAAGGAGGGTGTGGAAACATGTGAGGCTGAATTTGAATTCCGGGTAGAAGTGGACAGGTGTCCATTCCCTGGAGGCAGAGCACACGTGGTCTGGGAAAGTACCCTGACCCAGTGGGACCCTCGAGGAGGGTGTTTAGAAGGAAGTTGTGGGAGATTCATCTGCAAAGGCCGATGGGACCAATCTGTAAAGGATTTTGAATTTCAGATGGAAGAGTTTGCATTGCCTGGAGGAGGCGGTAGGAGGTCACTAAAAATGTTTGTGCAGGAAGCGGGTGCTCGGAGTGGTCCCTTGGGAAGGCTGGCCTGAGAGTTGCGTGTAGATTGAACCGTAGGGAGAAGACCCCAGAGGCAGAGCGTTTAATTTATTGGCGAGAGATAGTGGGGGTGCCTGACTTGGTTGGTGTGCCTGGAAGGGAAGGAGAAATAGTAGCACAGAAGCCTTAATCTTGGGCTGCTCTTATGTTAAGTGTTCCTCTTTTTTTTTTTTTAATTTGGCCAGTACATTCCATAACAGCCTGTGAAATACCTAAAGGTGAGGCTCTTTTGAATAAAAAAAAAAACAAAACACGTTCTTATAAATGCCAGTTACTTGGAGAAATGGGAGATTAATGTTCCAAGGAGTAAAATGACGCCACACAGCTCTCTTCTCAGTGTAAGATTATATGGATCCTCAGGGAAATGAAATCTGTTCACATCTTCTCCGTACAGCCCCATGATCTTGAATTATTTACGGTCCTGGTCTCTAACCCTGGCCCGTGGACTGGAATGGCAATAGAAACACGAAGTTAAATTCTTTATCATCACAGTGGTAGGGATAGCCAAGGGAAAACAATAATTTCCGTGATCACGAAGTGTTTTCCTTGCCTCAGGCATCCTATTTGCATATTCATGTCTCCCTTCCTTCTCACCATCCCATCCCCCACCCCTGTGGGTAGAGTAGATTTTATTCCCTCTCACAGACAAAGGAGTTTTGCTAAACTGGCATGTTTAGTGTCAGCCGGTCTGTTCTTATCATGGAATGAATGAACCTCAGTTACAGAGGAGTCCGGACTGGAATGGTATCCAGTATTTGTATTGCATCAATTCGTCTTCTAGAGAAATCGTGTCTGTTTTAATTCTTTTTTCCTTTTCACAGAGTCAGATGTTAGTTATAGGTGCCTTTTTATTTTAAGTCTGAATGAAAAAGACATCTGGGCCAAGAAAATTATTTATGGAGGGCTAAACGATAAAAAGATGAGAATTATATCTAAGATCCCACATAGATAAATGATACTGAAAAACAAGAAGAAGAAACCTTTTTATAATGAACTAGAGGGTGGGGTCCCTAGGCCTGGCCTGCGGGGATCGGGCTGAAACCAGCTCTCTCTGACATCACCCGAGGGGTCCCAGATTGTGAGAGGGCGGTTCTCAAGTGATGCACCCCGGAATCGGGCTCCCTCCTCTCCAGTTCCCGGTTTTCATCACCCAAGAACCGCAGCTGCCAAGTCACTGCAGCTTGGCAGCTCCTGGGTTGAGCGTCTGCCCCCGGTGGTCAGTGCACATCATAGCTACCGGTTGGATGGTCTAATGGTCGGATGGTCACTTAGGCTTTTATATATATATAGATAATAATAATCCATTTCCCCCAAAAGTCTGTTTCAACTCCAGTAAATGCCATCTGAATGGCTTGCTGCCTACCTGGTATTTGGGTGATGGGCAGAATGCAAAACTGAAATAGACTATAATTGAGCCTTCAGGAACCTAATGTCTAATGGGCAGAGACAGACAAGAGGGGCCTCCATAAGTGGTAATCAGGAGACCTGGGGTAAGGGAGAGCCTCCGGCCGAGGTCATCTGGCACCGGGATGGGACGGCTCCCGCTGGTCACAGGGTACTCAGGGTCGTCACGTCCAGAGAGGGAGCCCTTTCAGCTCTGTCCAGTGGTGTGAAGTGTCCAGGGCTGCGATGAGATAGAAAGGGTGCGAGTCAGTGGCAAGAGGGAAGTAGAGTCACCATGCTGGTGCCTTTAGACACCAGTGATGCTCAAGAACAGATGGATTCCTAAATCATAGACCAGGAAGTATCTCGTCTGTTTATTCCTGGAATATACCAAGCAGGGTCTCCCGGGAGAAAGCTGACAGAAACCAGAGGAAGGGGCCAGTTGGACTGAGTTTCAGATCCTCTTGCCTACCAAGAGGCGGAGTCCAGAGCGGGACAGGAAGACTACCAGAGGGACTGACCATGCCCTGGAGACTCGGCGGTGGGGCCTGCAGGGCCGAGTTCACCCCAGTTGTCCTGGACACTGGGTGTGGAGGCAGCATTGCCTGTCCAGGTCCCAGTGTTGATGAGTAGAACCTCTGAGTGCCCCAGTGTGGCTCTCAGCTGTGCTGGGCGGCACCCGGTCCGGAGGCTGGCCCCAGGAGCAGGCAGTTCAGCGGGACCTGCCCCGGTGTAGCCGCGGTGTCTTTAGCAGCCCAGCCATTTTCCTGATTCAGAACTGGATGTTCTTCCACAGTTTGTGCGCCTAGAACTGAGTATCGTTTGGGGAGACAGAAGTGTTGAATGTGTCAAGAACTTTTCAAGTCATGATCGCTTTTGACCAATGGTGGAATGCGTGGAAGTCTAACGTAATAAAAAAAATCATCAATGTAGTCAGAAGTTTTATACACAAAGATACTCATCGTAGCATTTTGTATTGAATTGAATTGATTGAAAATAATTTAAATGTCAACAACAGGGGAGTGAGTAAGCAAGTTATGAAATATGTTCCTGATCAAGTGTTACATAGCCATTAATGGTGGTAGTGAAGAAGGCACAATGTACAATTTAACACGATCTATAACTGAAAGAGCGAGATACAAAGTCACACATGCACTGTTCCCAGATTCCACCTGAGGCATTGATGGAGGCGTTGGGGAGAGATGGCTCAGACACTCGGTATTTTTCCTGCACCCAGCTTACTGCTGAGCACGTTCATATTTTTCATGTTTAATTATCAAGCGAGGCTAATTTCTTAATTTTAAAGACTTACCTCAGAGAAGTTGTTTTCTAATGAGTCCCAGACAACGAAGTGTCTAGAACTCCAGGCTGCTGTGGCTGACCGGACGCCCAGCCTCCGTCTGCTGTTCCGGACGCCCTCAGCCGGCTGTGAATGTTGGTGGGATTTTAACCAATTAAGTCAAAGGCAAGGTTGACGTCATGCACAACAGATAACTTTGCAGAGTGAATGGAGCTCAGCATGGCCTCATTTTGCATGTTATCTCCTCTCTCTAAATGAGACAATATCCTCATAGTATGGGCCATTTTTTACGTATATCCAGAATACAGTAGTAATTTTGTGGATAGCAAAGAAGGTATGTCTGAATGTAATGGGAGGGGCCGCTTAGACCTGTGAAGGGAGAGGGGCTTGTCTATCAAAAAATAGTCAGCTTGCTGATGAAAGGAACGGAACTGGAGAGCTAGTATGATGAGGGTATGGTATATAGAGAGGAAGACGAGTTTAAGAATTTTCAGTTGAAACTGTAAATGCATCCAAAATAGATGGTTTAAAAGGAGGAAGTTTTTGAAGTGTCAGAAGGTATCAGAGCATAGATCTTCTCCTAAAGATAAGTAAGGATGGGCTGAAGCCTTAAAAATCAGTTCATTTCTGTGCGAAACATTGGCGAGGACACCATCCTCCCACGGTGTGTGGGGGCTACAGAGCAGGGTCCAGCCCTGCCCTTGAGGTTGAACTCTGGCCTCAGGGAGTATTTTCACTTGTGTCTTGTGCAATCACCTGGAGAAAGGATGTTGCCTCAAAGTGCCTTCTGCTTTCTTTTATGCCGCAGCTGCAAAGCCCAGAGGAACCTGAATTCTTTCTTTGCTATTGTGATGGGTCTCAACACCGCTTCTGTCAGCCGGCTGTCACAGACCTGGGAGGTGAGCCTTGGGGTCCTCACAGAGAGGGGAGTGGGAGGGACAGATAAAGCTGAACGGGAGACTGGCCCGCAAAAAGCCTTTGTTTACAATGCATAAATTGATTTAAAGGGATTACATAAAAAATAATATGTCCAGTTGGGAGGGACTATTTTAATCAAATGGTCTTCAGAATGGTTGTGTAATGTGTATGAAAGCAATGAGAACTGTAAAATGACCCCTGCAGATTTAATCTTCCTCGGCTCTGCCCTGAGGTGGCGTGGGTACCAATGGTGGTCTTTCAAACGCTCACCTGCGGGCCGTGTGTCCAGAAGTCTGTTGGCTGAGACGCTGACGAATTAAGCTTCCGGGCCTCACACTTACTGGGCCCCTGACAGTGGGTTCACATGGACAATATACATCTTTGTAAAGTTTGCAAAAGTAAAGTAATTTTGTATTGATTTTCTTAAAGAGGGCCCACAAAATGCTATACGTTTCAGGCCTCCAAAATCCTGGTTCTGCTTCTGTTGCTGTCATATGATGGAGCCTGTTTAGTTTCTAAGATGGAGAGGCCCACAAAAGTTAGCCCAAGTTCTCAAACATGGACTTGAAGGGTATATGTGGGAAGAACTGCAGTTGGGGCATTCCTCTTGACCCAGGCACTGAGATAGGGCTCTTCTCTCCTTGGGCTTTTGTTTCCTTCTCTCCCTGTCCCCTGCTGATTGCCCACTTCACTCTGTGGACCATACCCCCCCCTCACCCCTTCTTTTTAACCCCCTCCTCCTGGCTCCAGCCTGCATGTGTTCACTTCGGTCTCCTTGGCCTCTCTCCATCTTCCCAGGTTCAGCTCCGATCAGTCAGTGCTCATTCCCTTCGTGGGTCCCAATGCAAACTCCTGTGGGAGAGAAGCCGATAGGCCCCTGTTCCTTTTCTTACATTAGGGCTCAGCGTAGGTCTCAGGGCAACCTGCAGGCTCACTTTCTGTGGGTCAGGGAGATGCCCTGACGGAAGCACCAGGGTGGGTTGCCTGAGAGTCGGGGCCAGTGCCCCTTAAAAAGGTTCAAAGAAAGAAACGATAGGCTTGCCTGCTCTGGCGAAGCAAATGAGACCGTGTGTGCACATCGTAAGATGAAGGAGGTGGGCAGCCAATGCCCCGGTTGACCAGAGGAGGAACAGATGGCTGGCAAGGGCTACAGGCGAGTGGAATTGAGTTAAACCTGGAAAAAAGCTTTGCTTTGCAAGCACTGGGGGGAGAAATGAAATCCAAACCATGTGCGTCCCATGAGCACATTGGCTGCTTCCTTTGTGCACGGCGCTGCGTCTTCACCTTGGCAGAAGGAGGGTGGTCAGACAGATGGGAACAGAGGGGCTCTCATGGAGGAGGTGCCACAGCCACACTACGGGGTGATGAAAACCGCCGACGAGGAGCAGTCAGGGTGGAGCCACGTGAGAGATTTACGTGCAGAGCCACGGCACACGTCAGCACAACTTGGTGAACCCTTCCCCGGTCGCCTCTCAAAATAGCTGGCCTCTTTGACCTTTTTGTGTGTGTTTTTTTGTCTTTGTTTTTAGAAAATCCCTGGGAAGTTTAAGAAACTTTTCTCTGAACTTGAAAGTTTAACAGTAAGTAGTTGACCCAGAGGGGACTTATCCTTCCAATGAGTTGCCAGCATCTGATTGTCTTCTACATTCCAGTGGGGGAGGCGGGGGGAGAGGGGAGGACCTGCACTCCATCGGGGCAGGTAGTTAGACACACACACGTTCACCCGCCCTGAACATGTAGCTTTGCTTCTTATGAAGTGAAGCAAGTACATGGTTAATGCTGCTTCTCCGTGGAACACAGCATTGAGAATGGCCCTTTGGCATGGTTTTCAGCAGGCACATTGTTACCTGTGGTCCATCTCCAAGCCTATGAAGTTCACGGGTGTAAATTTAGTGTGCAGTCACTGGCTTATGCATCCTTCTCTTCTCCTCTTACCATTTCTTAGGCTCAGGTACAAAATGTAGCATAGTTTCTTTTCAGAAACAGTAAGGCAGTTCTCTTGTGCTCGCTGCATTGTCTGTGCATCACGAGGGCATTTTTCTGTGCCGTGTTCCTGACAAAAGACACCAGGGTCTCCTCATGACAGAAATTACGCGGAGGAAACTACTTACAGAACTGACTCGAGGAAAAGAATAGGGCCATCAAAAGGTGTCTCTCTCTTTTGCAGCCACTTCCCATTATTGTAAACCAATAAGCTGGCTTTCAGTCATTACCTAGATTTCCTGCCCTAATTTAGTGAGTTTATTTCCCTAGGAAACCTTTGTCCCCTTCGTTCTTAGGGAAGATGTCTCCATATCCAAATCATGTTCAAATTGCATAGCAACGTGGGCTGAGAGCTGTTTCTATAGCAGATTGATTTTTTTTCTTTCTCTTTGTGATCCGCTTGGCTGCACAGGATCCCTCCCTGAACCACAAAGCCTACAGAGATGCGTTCAAAAAGATGAAGCCGCCCAAAATCCCGTTCATGCCCTTACTGCTCAAAGGTAACGATTTTTTCTTTTCTACTTGTAATTCCATCTTCCAGAAATGCATCGTTATAACTGTAGAGGACAACAACAACAACAAAAGAGGGCTCAGTTTATTGCTTTAGAGTAATTTCGACATTCAGAACTAACAGGGTTTCCCTGTGGTTGCTTTTCAAATACACTGTTATTCCTGAGATGCCTAAAATACAGACTTACACGTGAGCAGACAGCAGAGCATTTTCTGCGACGCACAGAGTTTAGGACTGGAAACTGTTGTGTGTTTACTTCACCTGCTCCTACATGCCGTTTATTTTTCTGTGAGTTTACAATCCACTCAATTCAACCGAGACCAGGCTGGCATGCGGGACCCCAGAGGCAGTCAGTGGGGCGCCACGTTGGCAGCCCAAGTTTCAGAGCCGCAGCCCACACCTGCCGTGTGGGGCACAGGCCGTAAATGACGCCTCATGAGACATGTTGGCTAAATGTACTGTTGAGGTCTCAGCGGTCCTTTCACACCAGGGGATTCATGCAGGGGAAGCTCATTTCAATCTGGCCTGTGCTTCTGACCTTCCGTACATGTCCTACCTGTGAGCTGTCCACAGGGGGTTTGCTCTCTTTTCTTTTTGATCTGAGAGGAGAGAGAGAGAAACATCAATATGAGAGAGAAATATTGATCGGTTGCCTCCCGCACACACCCCAGCCCAGTATTGAACCCGATACCTAGGTATGTGCCCTGACTGGGATCAAACCTGCCACCTTTTGTTGTACAGGACATGCTCCAGCCAACTGAGCCATCTGGCCAGGGTGGATTTGGTCATTTTTCTTGGCCATATTGTGATCCCTTCAAAGGATTTTATAGAAACACTCTTTTCTTTTTACATAGCCTCTGCTCTTTGGCTGGGCCAGGTCCCCATGACTGGGTCCTTAGATGTGATTCTGGAAATGAGTTACCTGGAGCTGGAGGGCTGGCTGGCCCGGCCATCCTCCCCGGCCTCCCCCTTTGCCCACCCCATGGGCAAAGCTGGTATCCCCTCTTCGGCTTCTCTCAGGAAG